CAGGCAGCTTTCCGGGTCATGTGGCCAGCATGACTTACCCGCTTCTGGCGCAACGGAACACTATGACAGAAATCAGAGCGCATGAAAATGCCGTTTACCTTCCCGCCACAGCAGTACCTATTTATCTACTTGCACTGGCATGCTTTTGAACTGCTAGGTTGGTAGGAGCTGGGACAGAGCAATGGGAGCTTACCTCGTCACACAGATTAGAACTGCCAACCTTCCGATTGGCAAGCCCAAGTGGTTTAGACCACAGCGCCACCTGCGTCCCTATCCCTTATACCTTTACCTTTATTATTATTAAGTGGTGCAATAACCCATCAAGGTCCAGACAGACCACCAGAATCTAGATTGGTGGGTGGTCAGCAAAACTTTGAGGTGGAGCAGGTACTGGACTCATAGTGTCAGTTTGGTATGGTGTAGTACCTGATTGTGACGGGAAGGGATATGAATATGAACCCCAAAAATGTTCACAGTGCCTCCAGTGTTCATTCTTCACACTTAGTCAGTCAGTTTCATTGACGCTACCGGGGCAAACTAAGGCCTGTGAACTGCAGGTGTATGGAGGCCATGGAAGTCACTGGGGGAGAAGGAACAGGATGAGATCTCTGAGACTGTTGGTGGGGAGTAGTTCACTAGATGATGTCCCTACCCTGCTGCTGTTTGATGCCCCAGCAGAGGAGGGGGAGCAGTGAGCCAGCCCCTTGCCCTTCCTCCTGTGAGCAAAGTTGCCCTGGCAACTGGGGAGGCATGTGAGCCTGAATTGGGCAGGCAGACTCAGGCCCCATCTCTAGGAATGTGCAGTTAGATGTACTGGTGTGAGCAGACTCTGCCAACCCGCAGAAGTGCCCACTTACTTGCCCAGTCCCCATCACTTAGGGCAACAATTGCGTGAATGACTGTGTCTGCCCTGCTCTTCAAAAGAAGAGCAGAGAGGCATGTCAGGCATTTGTTTGTGCCTAGTCCTGCACCGTAGACCTCTGCTTTGGACTTCTGAACCTTGTAACCTGTATCTTGATCTATGTCTAAACCATGAACTGATTCGTAAAACAAAGCCTTCAGGAATGATTGAGCTGACAGTCCAAGTACTGAATCCTAGAGTGGGAGCCAGGACAAGTGACTACATTTAATGGCCTGAAACTTCCAAAACACACACACACACAAAACACCACCCATTGCACTTAAGCAATATTTATACATTCCTCCCTTCCTTGGCCCTTTCCCCATAAGTTATTCTGTCTATACCCTCTGAACCTGGGCTACATGCCCATGGACATGCTATAATGTTACTTCTCTATTATCTTCAAAGAGAATATTGCTAACCATCATCTGTATATTGCACTAATTAAAAACTCCTAACATTTTATCTTTGATCTTCTATATATGTATAGAATGCTTACATGCTAACAATGTAAGCTTCTTCACTATCTTATAAATCAGTGAGTCTCCACCCTGTCTTGAATAAATTGTCAGATACTACCTTAGATGAGAGAATTTCCTGGCTGTTCTCCATAAGTGCCATCCATAAGTAGCCTACAGCATAAAGTATTTTAGTTCAATTTTATTCTATTTTAATTTTACTCGCTGAACAACTCTGATAGTCACTGGGAAGAATGTGTAAAACATGAAATGTATTATAAAGTAGATGATTTTTGAGCCATTCAAAACTAATAAAAAGCTGGAAGTTTCACTTACCTACTGCCACCCTGACACCTACAAAAATTATGATCAGCTAATTCAGTCATTTAATTGTGAGGAAGACGAGAGATCACTTAAAGAACTGGAAGGGGATTTTCAGCTACGTTTATTAAGCCAGACATTATTCTTGTTAAGGCATTCAAAATTAACTCAGTGTTGCATGGGTGGAGGAAATCAATGATGTGCCTGCTAGACTTCTCTACCACTGTGAGTTTTGTGCCTGTAGCTTTCAGTTTGTGCAACCCATGCCATGGAAAGTGTAGGTACAGATCACATATACAACTACTCTGTATGTATTTGGGTATATGCTTTGTGTTCAAGGGACCTGTGCATGTGTGGAGGCCAGAGGTGGGGACAGTGGGACATTATCCCACCTTCTGTGTGTTTATTATGAGTGCCTGAACAGAGCTATTATCTCAATGCCAAGCTAAGAGTTTTTCAGAGGGAAATGTGGAAAATGGAGCACCCTTTCCCCCAAGAAAAAGCACAAAAAAACCTTGAAAAAGCCCCAAACAACTCACCTTCATTTGTTGATGCTTCTGTCTCAAATTATAATGCCTCTGATTTGACATCGCTATTTGTGTACAGTTTGTTTTTGTTTTAAACCCGCCTTACTTTTGACTGACCTACTGTTTGGAATTGACAATAATGGCCATACTTTTTTCAGAATGGACAAGTTAAACAGAGGAATTTAGCTTTTAAGCACTCTATCCACAGTATGAACTTGCAGTAATGTTCTCATTCCAATCCTTTTCATACTGTATCAACAGAACACTACAGGGGTGAGTATAAAAGGCTTTAGTTGGCAGATGAAAAATGGGGGGTATGTAAAGCTGGAAGATGTTCAAATCCAGGCCATAAAGACCCAGGCCTGGCTGTAGTTGTGTCTTCAAGAACTCATTTTCTTGGCTGCCCCGCTGTTGAGGGAAGTCCGTTTCCCTTGGGCTTACCAGATTATTAGCATTTTCCAGAAACACTCTAAGACTTTTTTGTTTGGACTGGTTTTAAGTGGTGGAGGTAGGCATGCCTGGGGTTCTTTCTGTTTGTTTATATGTATTTTATACAAATAAACTGAACATATATTTTATATTTCTGTGTGTTTCATAAGTTTTAGAAACACTGTTATCCACTTAGAGCCTTAAAGATGTTATACAAATAAATAAGGTAAGTACAACCACTTAAGAACTTCTGAAAGCTACAGAAGACAAAGTGCATTGAGGTAAATAGACACAATTAGGAGACCTATTCTAGAGACTTATCCTTTGCAGGGTGGATGGTTTTATGAGGCACAGGCATATTTATATTGCTTTTAAATTTTAGACAGAAGGTGGTGTGGTAACTAATCAATAATTTTCTTGATAGATTTAATGGGAAAGGGAAGAAAAGAGCATTAAGGAAGATCCTGTATTGCACGACTTCTATAATAAACAACTACAAGTGACTGTACTTTTATCCTTGTAACTTAAAAAGATTTACAAAGGTGGCTAGATAACACTGTAGACTGTGTAGGAGTGTGGTGTTGGCAGACCTGAAATATAAAGGATTTAATTCAAAGTCACTTTCAAAGCCAGTAATAAATCGTAGTCCAGTAACAAAATCTCATTTCTCAATTTCACACAAGGAAAGATTGCTTGCCTTTCAAAAAACCTTGCTCTTTTAAAAGATGTAGAGCAATTATTTAAGAGAACTAAAGCAATCATTCTCTTTGTGATGAATTCAGTATTTTGTATATTTTGTAGATGATCTGAAATGCATAATCATTACAAGGAAACGAAACAGGGATGGGGATGGAATGGGGCTAGTGCAACTAATTCCACTGGGGAGCCATGCCTAAGGCAGCATTTAAGTAATGTCAACAAGTCCCCTATTAACTTCCCAAATCATCTCAATGCAGCTGGGCTGAAATCTAGCCATTATCCGGGTGTTGCTGCAGAGCAGCAACGATCAAACCAGCAATTTCCTCACCAGATTCCCTTGCTACCAGATTCCCTACTTGGAACCACTGGAATCTGGGCTGAATATTTGGGAAATGTGGAGAGGTGGCATGCGCAACCAGGCAAACTGTGACTGAAGAGACGCACATGATAAGATCATCACTAATGTTTTGTGTTAACTTTATACAGTTCTCTTTTTTCCTCTTTGTTGAGTACATAAATGTAACCTAAGCCAATTTTTTATTTTTGGCTTGGATTGTGATTACGCATAAACCTGATCTCAGCCTATACAAGCAGTTCACCCGTGTTGCTGCTCCCTAGTTAAATTTAAATATTCTAAGGGTAGTGTTCTGTCTAACAGTTAAGCAAAGGCATGAATCAGGCTATTATATCAACCAAGTTTTTCCTTCATAAAAATATATATATTTAAATTAGAAATGATTGAGTGTGAGATACTTGGTAAGAACAGTTTCAGTTTTGTCTGGTGTTTTCATTATAAGAGTACATCATACCAGAGTTCACCTTGTCCCTTAACACTCATATTCACTCTCCAGTGCAAAATGAAAAAATAAATTAAAATCCTTCCAGCAAGTAGGCTTTATCCTGGGTAGCTTCTGACCCTTAAGATTCACTGTATTTAGCATTAAGGTATGTGAGGCTGAAAATGGCGTTCCTATACCTGCTCTGGGTGACCAAATATTATAAGAGCTCAGAACTTCTCTGAGGGAAACTTTCCCTGCCAGCATTGACATGAGCGGGGGGCAACTCCAGATGTTATTATTATGGGAAGCATTTTTTATCGCCTTCTTCAGCTGAAAAGGCTTCCAAAGCAGTTTACAAAGATCAGTACAGTCATACCTCTAGTTGTGTTAGGTTCATGTTGCGGATTTTCGGGTTGTGAATGCGGCAAACCTGGAAGTGTATATTTCCTGGTTCCGCCACATGCAGAAGCGTCGCTCTAGTTGCGGACTTTTCAGGGTGGGAACAGCACCCTGGAATGGATTGTGTCTGAAACTAGAGGTACCACTGTAATAAGACACAGTCGCAATCTAAAATACATGCCATGGTGAAAAAGGATTGGGAGGGAGGGAGGAAAAGCAAATTCTGGTACTAGAGCTTTCTTCTCTCCCCCCCCCCCCCCAGTACAGTGGTACCTCTGGTTACGAACTTAATTCATTCCGGAGGTCCGTTCTTAACCTGAAACTGTTCTTAACCTGAGGTACCACTTTAGCTAATGGGGCTTCTGCTGCCGCCACGCCACCAGCACACGATTTCTATTCTCATCCTGGGGTAAAGTTCTTAACCTGAGGTACTACTTCCAGGTTAGTGGAGTCTGTAACCCAAAGTGTTTGTAACCTGAGGTGTTTGTAACCTGAGGTACCACTGTGTATATGTGTGTGTGTGTACACACACACACACACACACACACACACACACAGTGGTACCTCGGGATGCGAACGGGATCCGTTCCGGAGCCCCGTTCACATCCTGAACAGAATGTAAGATGCGACTGCGTCTGCGCGTCACATTTCTCCGTGCATGCGTGTGATGTCATTTTGACCATCTGCGCAAGCGCAAGTGGCGAAACCCGGAAGTAACACGCTCCATTACTTCCAGGTCGCTGCAGAGCGCAACCCAAAAATACTTATCCAGAAGCGTATTTATCCCGAGGTATGACTGCATATGTATAGGCCTTTGTTCAAACAAAATATTTCTCAAAGCAGGTAACAAAAATATATACCCTACAAACAAATAAATCATAATACAATTTTAAAACCAAATTAAAAACAATACCAAAATAATCTCAGAACAATACTATACCTACCTACCTACCTACCTACCTACTAGAATGAACTAACATGACCATTTGCCCCCAAATGGCAAACCTCTGGAGTGGTTGGCTTTCTTACCCCCCTCTGCAACAGACATGGATAATGGACTAAATTTCTTGAGCAGAGTCATATATTTCAGAGTACATGCAGAGTTCATTGCAGCAAAGAGGTCTGGGTGTGTGTGTGCTTCTTTGGGACTCATGATGTAGATGATAACAAGATGTTGAACTATAGGTCTCATCATCCCTGGCCAAGCCCATGTGGTTGAAGCTGATGAGATTTGGAGTCCAGCTATATTTGGAGGAGCACAGGTTGCTCACTCCTGGGCCAGATTCCACGGTAGAGTCCAATTCTACATCCAGGCGGGCTGCTGTTTCCGCGAAGCCATTATTAATCAGGAGAAAAACTTACATAAGTTTTAAATCTGGGAACTTTCTAGCATCCTGTGCTCAGCCCCCATAATTCAGTGGAGATTGTGAGACTGACCCCAGATTATGGAATACCCTCCTCTCCAATGTGTATTTGCCATTGAAAACATTTTCGCATCAAGATGGAAAGATGTCTGCACTGTTACTTCTCAGGTGTTTCTCAGATTTTTCAAGGCAGGGTTCAGATTTACTTGCAAAGTATTGAAGCACAATCACTTCTTTTGAATTTTGACCAAATACGCCCCCTCATAATTATACAAAGTAGAAAAGGGAGAGTTAAGAACTAGACTTCTTCCTCAGTTGAAATAGAATGAATGTTCTTGAATGAGATTAACTGATGAAACTGTATTTTCTGATTATGAATTGTTTTTCTATATCTGGTAATACTTTCAGGAAGGTTAATATGTCAGTTAGAAAGATAACTTTGATGAAGGAGTTGCTTTTCACCCTTTGAAATGATTTTTATGAATCCATTCTAGCAAAGTGGCTTGAAGAAGTTCATATCTATTTTTGGAGAGTAATAGAGATTTGATTTTCCAGCTGGTTTTTTAACACTGGTATTTATGTATACAGTACTATAATTACTTAATGGTCTCTGCCTCTAGATACATTGAAGGGAAAATGTATTAAGCATTTGGTAAAATTCATAATCACACCCAATTAATTTTTATCTGAATTTCCCTCATGTTAAGCTTTTCTTGGCTGGTTTGAGCAGTAAGATTATTAGTCTTATATAGCTGTATTTAATCATTCTGAGCCATGAATCAAGGCAGTCTTTCTGAAGTTACCTAACTTTAAGCATCCCTACAAAATTTGTGACCTACAAAGCCTAATATAGCTCACCAGTCATTTTAGTTGTTCAGCCAGGGGCCACTGGATCCACTATTTTCACTGGATGCACAAGTGGCCTCAGCGGCTAGGAACACCTTTTGATAGCTTCATCTAGTGTATCAGCTGTGGCCATTCCTGGGCAGAGGAATACTGGCCACAGTATTCCATACTTTGTGATTTCAAGACTGGATCACTGCATTGTGCTTTGTGTGAGATGGCAGCTAATGCACAATGCAGTGGTTAGGCTCTCCTACTTGTGGGATAACCAGTCTTATATGACCAACATGTGTTTGTCAACTCTAATTAATGCATGAATAGGTTAATACCATAGAGTAAGCTGCCCTGCCAGGCTTAGCTATGCTCACTTCCTCTCAGATTTGGGGGAACTAGGTAATCAAACCTTTGTTTTCCACCAGTTTACCTGAGAAGCTCAGCGTTTGAAGAGGTTTGAGCAGATTGCTCTAGCTCAGTCACATAGCTCTCTTGTACCAATAATTTGGGAACTTTCTACACTTTGCAACTTAGCCAAGTTTTACTGCCTGTGCAACTTTCTGAAGCACATGAATATGACCTTTGAAAATTCTCTAAAATTCTCTAATTTCATGCAGAAGTCAATCCAGGCCTGCCAAATAATTTAGATTTTTACAATGTACTTTTAGATATACTCTGTAAACGTTCCACTCTCTATTAAATGTTTGTTCTGTGACCTTTGAAGAGTAAGAAAACAGTTTTCTATGTTACCAAATGTGTGGTCTTTTCCTATGCTGGGCAAAGAGAGAAACATGGAAAGAAACCTTTCAAGGGGACATTTTGGAACTCACTTGAAAAGGCATGTTTTAAAGGGTTTACAGCCTATATTTCTAGCCTATAAACAAACAACCCTAGGAGAAGCTGGTGTCAGTCACCTGTCAGGGCATAATACATGACAGTTCTCATTGTGAATATATACAGTGGTACCTCTGGATGCAAACGGGATCCGTTCCGGAGTCCCGTTCGCATCCTGAAGCGAACGCAACCCTCATCTGCGTGTGCGTGGGTTGTGATTCGCCGCTTCTGCACACACGCGTGACGTCATTTTGAGCGTCTGCGCATGCGCAAGCGGCAAAACCCGGAAGTAATGTGCTCCATTACTTCCAGGTCGCCGTGGAGCGTAACCTGAAAACGCTCAACCTGAAGCACATTTAACCCGAGGTATGACTGTACTGTACTTCAAATATCTTGTGCATGTTAGAAGTATCAGACACTTTCCATTCCTAGTTTTGCTATGAAATTTATGTTTTGACGGGACTAAACATTAGCAACATTTGGGGCATGATTTTTTGGATAGGTTTGGTAAATGTTACCAAATGGGTAAAATATTGATAAAATTTGGTAAAATGTTCCCAAGCTTTTGTAGCACTAGCGTGTGGTATAGCAAGAAGAAGCTTCCAAAGCAATATCTCTGCCCCCTTCTGCAGGTTCTCTCCATACTGGGCTATCATTTAAATGTTATTTAAAAAATAATAATTGTGGCCGCTTAAGGTTAAAAACAAAACAAAAACCGTGTCCCTCTTTTGGTGAGCTTGGTTAACAGAAAGGTTGCTAAGAGGAATAACCATCATAATGTGGCTAAGCAAATAACTCTGGGATTTGGCACAGGCCATAGCTCTGTGATTTCACCCTGCTGTGTGGTCTTTCTCATACACTATTATAAGCCACTGGTCCTCTCTTGTAACACTGGTTTCAATAACATTTTTCTGGCGGGGATGACACAAGACAGCAAATAATATACTTTCAAGTTTATTTTCCTTGCTCCTCATAGCCCATGTCCTTTCGTTTTCCTCCCTTTCCATCTTTTCTCTTTCCTGTGTTTTCATTCCTTCATCCATCTGCTCTGGGAACTGTAATCACCAGCGTCAAAATATAGAGATTTCCAACCTAAAATTGGCACCCGTGGGAAGGAACCTAAAACGATTTGGACAGAGAGCACAAGTTGCCAAACCATGTTTAATAGGTTGTACCAAAGATTTTCCTAAACGGTTCTCATACACTGTGGCTTCTCAAAGGCCAATAAAACCTTATTATAACAGAGCCTTAACTTCTATAAAAATGCAAGGAAGACTTGCTTTAATTCTTGAACTTTAGAAAAGTGCATTTCCCAGGGAAAATCACAGTGAACCAAACTAATAGAGTTACCCCAGGAACAATGGTCTTAATGTCTTTGAAGTTCAGAAATGGAGAACGAGTCCTCCTTGCTCTCATGTCTGCTTTGAAGATGATAAATAGTGATGCAATAGCATTTACTTATCACATTCACCAGAAGTGTGTGAGTGTAGTTCTGGAACAACCTAGTTGACACAGTATTCTGTTTCATAGTTTGGTATGGAAGCAATGCCGTCTTATAATGATATGGTTCAGCATATGCTTCCTTTACTGCTGTACATGTTAGACATTGTTTCAATATGTGGCATCTGAAGAAGAGGAAAAGCCTGTGCATTTGATAAGCTGGTGAACAGACCCAGAGAAACATTTGGAGAGAAAAAACAGTTTCTTGGTATATCTCATCAGCTAGATGTGATGGTGGCAGGATCCCACATGGTTTATGCCAATTTAAATCACTTCTCTTATGCTAGATTTAAGGTTAGCGTACATTAGTAGGAGGAGAGAATGGATATTCATTCACCCGCTTTACCACAATTATTTTCTCTGCCCACACCCAGAAGAGTTTAACTCCTCCCACTACCAGCTCACACATTTTATATTAAATCAGCAGCTTTCAGTAGAGCAGGATGGCTTTAATCCCCCTAATATCTCAGCAGCAAATAGCTTGCTAGTTCTACAGTACCAACCAGTGGCTACTTGAACATGCTGAAGAAACTACAGAGTGCACTCACTTGAAAATAGTCAAGTTACATCCCTTATAATGAATGGCTTTGGAGTTTACCCATTTACACTTAGTGTGTTCATAAGAACCTGGTTCATAACCAATTTTTGCTAGTTTGAAATGTTTGATTGAGATATCTAGACACCATTCTTGCCCCACCTTCTCTGGTTCACAATAGTAGTTTCTAACGCCAGGAGCTTTCATTTATTAACTGGATGAGCTATAGAGTGAATGATGGCTAGGTTGCCTGTCAGCTGTCCAGCAGCCAGCATAGCTATGTTGAAGGAATTAGATTACACTGATTCCTGGGGCGTTAAGGGCTTGCTTACTTACATTTTTCTCTCATCCTGGGGTCTTCCTGTAAGTAAGTGATCTTTTGGGCTGTAATTTGGACACAGTGTAGAATAGAGGAAGTCCAGGAATCTTACATAGCGTTTTGTGGAAGAAGACAGCATCCAAGCTACTTTGGGACATGGTGAGTCTTGCCCTCGCCTTAGGCC